CTTGAATTCGCGAATTCTTCGCTTAAGCAACGAAGCTGAACTCGTGAACGATAACAGAGTCGACAGCGGCGGGCTCGCATTACGTAGATTGGGTCGTGACTTTTTTATATTATAATAAGTGTCGTGTGAGCACCTCTGTAACCCGGCCGTTTTGAAGGACGTATGATAGCGATCACTATCATATTCATTCGCAGGGGATAAGGAAAAAATTTTTTTTTTCATGACGAGTCGTCAGACGACGCTGAGGCTGTAAGAACTCGAAAGGGCAAATGCGAGGGGCGGAATAGACGGTCGAAAAAGCGCGCGAACAGACGTCAAAGCCTACTATACTTCCATAAAAAAAACTTGCGAGAGTTGATCCGAGATCATTAGAGATGTGCGGAAGAATGTCGTGAAAAATATTTCCGGACAAGATGCTCCGCTGCGGAAGTCGCATCACTTCGACCGAGAAGCACTTCACATGAAATAATCTCGCTCAGTGGTCAGACCATTAATAGCCGTTATTTTCGCTAAATGGAAAGACACATCATCTCTGTTTGTGCTAAACGATCGTAGCAACAAGAAGCTCCGGCTATTAAGAAGCATGAGTCATGTTGTTCGCGAGAGAGAGAGAGAGAGAGTAGAGTTTATTATAACTTTAGAATGTAAAACCTTTTAGATTTACGATAGCCAATGTAATATTATATTAAATTACAGGTAACAAAAAACAAAGAAAAAATTATCATAAATTAAAGTTAAGATGCTGCTACATTTATAGAATTATTTGCAGCTAAGAGAATAATAAATGCAGAATGAAACGAATAAATTTAGTTATAAGAGAGAAAAATAATTAAATTAAGAAGTAAGGTAATTCGCAGTACAGAATATTAAATTGAGAGGAGAGATGAAAAAGGAGACTTTTAACAAAAAACGTTAAATCAGTTACTATATTATTATATTTAAGAACTAATTTGACAGAATGAAACTTAAGAATTGGTTTTCTTGACACCGAAACAAAAAAAGCTTTGAGCTAAATCACGCTTTCAAGATTAAAAAATAATACGTAAGATTGTGCTTGAATTTGAGAGGCGAGAAGATATTAACAATCTAATTTAGCAGTGAATTTCACAACAACTTGAACAGTGAAAAATCTCTTGATTTTAGAGAGACAGAAAGAGGAAGAGTGGCTCCTTGAAGCGCGAAATTTAATGCACTCGCACGAGTTCTCGAAGGTGCAGGGGTAAATACCGCCGGTAATGTTATTCTTATTTGCATGTAATCTCTGCGAAACGTTCGCGCTTACGCTCCTTGAGACTAATCTGACCTCGAAACGTCAGTGAGATTATGTTAATTTGGCTTCTTCGGTGTAACACGCGCTGGGACTGACTGCGCCTGTTCGCATTATTTATACCGAGAATTTGCGTGGCGCGCGATTTATTATTAATACGCACGTAAGCGTTTTCAGATGGGGATTGCACGTGATGGATCGTCAATAGCATAGCCGGGTATCGAATTAGCAATCAAATTTTGAGGGAAATTGAAAACGAGATTAGACGAGTAATTTTGTCGATGAAAGATTTATTAGTCCGCACGTACACAGAAAAGAAGAAGGTAGCCCCTACGAGTAAACAATGGTTATCTAAATAACATAGTATGTCTAATAAGAGCGTAGTCGACATAACTTTTAAATTATTTATTATAAAAAAATAAAATTAAATATGTAATATTTAATTGGTACTATAACGCTTTTATATTTTATATTAATAAGTCACTCAATCACCGCTTGATATCTTCGAAGGATACCTTCCACCAATGTTGCAGCATATTCTTGAGATAAAGATCGCCATATCGAACGAATCTATCAAGATAGTTGTTCCCATCGTACACTTTTTTCCCATGTAACTTCATCTTCATTAATCTCCAGATATTTTCAATAGAATGTGGTGCATTTGGTGATTGTAATAGCCATGTTGATGGTTGATGATGATGATTGTAATGTTTCGATTTGATTTCTTCTTTAAATTGCCAGCAAAGAAGACTCCGATATTTTGGATTGTTATCTTCTTGAAAAATCCATTCTTGATTTTTGCTTCGAAATTATTTTTCAGCAGATAGTATTAATACTCTCTTATTTTAACCGCCTTTTAGCATCCGAATTCTCTGCAGATAAAGTTCCAAATCGCCTTGGTTTGAAAAGAAATTCCAGACGTGAATCTTTACCGGGTGTTTCACGATCCGTTGGGAAAGTTTGCTCATGGAGATAGACCAAGTTCGATTGATAGTATTTCTTGACCAAAAAGAGAATTTATCGGAAGAAATAACATTCTTCCAATTGCAATTAATATTTTCACGATCCAAGCGATTCTTTTTGCAAGATTTGTTTTTTTTGAGAGAAGCGGTTTCTTCATTCTACTTCGATATTTTAAGTTAGAAACTTATAGACGAGTTCGAATATTCTCAAGTGATAAAATAATATATTTCTTTTTTCAATTTGACTTGTCCCTGATGCAGTGATAATAGAAGATTTTAGTAGAAAAGAATTATATAATTTGTTTATCCTCTTTCTTCGATATTTCCTGTGTCTTACCGCAGATCATCAAAGATACTTGCTGTTTCATATCGATTTATTCATTTGTTCACAAAAGCTTTTTTAAGCATTTTGTAGTCACTTTCCGCGACATTTTCGGTCCTTTTGGATACGTGCAAAGCAAAACAGCTTCGAAACTTTTAGCATATGCGGCACTCATCGCTAAACACGTCATTCTCTATCGAAAATCGCATTAATAAGACCTTCTGTGATGCGTTTCAGAGCAAGAGTTCTTCTATCTGCTCGCTCAAAAGTTTTTGATATAACAGTTTTCAAACAGTAGTTTGCCTGATCATGCTTTTATTAGACAGACTGAAATTCAATTAACTTAACAAATTCTTTTTGTCTTTGTACCTAGTTTTTAGCTCCCACGACTGAAAACTAAGTCTGGTAACTAGATTCCTTCAATTGTATTATAGGAACATTAATTCCTCTTTTCTGTGTGTACGCAAGTGCGCGTTCGCGAAACGCTCAGCGGAGTGTGGAAATGCGAGGCACGTTCGTGTTGAACGATGGGTCTCACCAACGGTCTCTTGTCCAGCGTGCTTTTAAAGCTCTCAAAATATTATTTATGTTAATACTATTTAAACGTTAAAATTATTTAAATGTAATTTATATATAAATGAACAATTTCGTATATACATTTATAATTCACGGCGATATCATTCCCGACGTTCTGCGTTCGGCCTTCTCTTCGGGAATTTGGGAATCGAGCGAGATTTCGCCAAGCGACGGGCGGAAATGAGATCGCGCCTTAGCGAACGATTTTTACATGCCGAGATTACGATCCACGTTGAGATTCAAGCGGCTCCGCATTCGGCGGCCGCATGCCCGGCCGCGCGATGCAAAACATCTGCTAAATCCGCGGCGAGAGGCATCTCCCGTCGCGCACGTGACGCAAATCTCTCCGCTCTTATCCTGAGGGATGGCCGTCATAAATCGGCGAGCGTGCTGATATTCGGTCGGCGAATCCGCGCATGCATTCGCGTATTTCCCTATCAGCTGACACTTGCGACCAAGTGGAAAGTCTCGGCCACGGGGATGGTAACGAAGGAACGGGGCGCGAGGGCGCGAGGGTGGTGCGCACGCACCTTTGAATGAACGTGCTTTTCAGGCGTTCAGTTTCACCGACGGGGTTCTTCAGTACGGTACACCAGCCGATCCAGGCCGGCTCCTGCCTGACGTTGTAGATCGCGTAGATCGCGGAGGAGACGCACGCCGGTCGTGCCGACAATAATGCCAGTGGTTGACCGAGCGATCCGACGGCTCGCGAACGGATAAATGTCCGCGGCAAATATTCGAGCGAAAGGGTGACAGGGTCTCTGCAAACATGCCGAGACGTATTGCCGAGTCCTCGGACGCGACATGACGAACTTTGCCTTCCGTTGCTGCCAGTGACAATGACTTTGACGCGGCAGTCGCGCCCACGAAGATTTGCGGTTTCCGTCGATCGATCAGAGGGGGATGACGCGCGGATTCACGAGCCCGCGCGCGCCCCGAATGCACGATAGTTGCGAGGCGCGCGTTAACGTTAACGTTCTGGAGAAAAATGCCGCACTTCACGGCCGAACGAGCGTTCCACGCGGGCTCGTTCGCGGACTTGATAAACGTCGCGCTGAGACCTGCCGTCTGAGGTCTCGACGATATTTCTTACACACCGAAGGAAACACGCGATAACGCGTCAAACGATAGGGAAACGTGTACAAATCAACGATATGTATGTCGCACCGTCGCGCTGAATTGCTGAGACGGAATCGGGGAGGAAGTGCGAGAAGCGAGACAAACGCGACGACAAGGGGTTGTACCCGCGGAAGTAGCCGTGTTCGTTGAATTAATTCGCAGGGGGAAGCCGACACGAAGAGGAGAGACAAATCTCTTCGGTCGATGTAAAGTGAATTTTCAAGCAGTCCGGCCGGTGCGCGAACCAGATAGCCGCGGATCAAAGTAATACAAAATATGGTTCGTCCCGCGCGTCACGTGTTCGTCCCATCTCGACGGTAATCTTATTACCGGACTGCAGAATCGGTGAATACGACGAGGGAATATCCGGCGGTGGGAGGCTACCGAGAGATCGTATGAAAAAATAAAGGTACTCGGGCTCGTGCTTTAAATCGGAGAATCATCAACGGGGAGCATGGATCGCTCCCGGGACGAACCCTGCGGGATTCTCGATCGAATGTCGTAAATTCGTACCGACGCCTCCCTGATAAGAAAAAACGGTCGGGTTAAGCCACCTATGATAACTGAACGCTAGTCCATTGTGCGTCTCGTAGGAGAAAATCGGCAGCACTGATAAAATCGATTAGACGAACTGTTCGGAGGAGGAGGGACGACAGAGTGAGAGAGAGAGAGAGAGAGGCGGAAGATAGAACAAAGCACCTCGGGAGCATACTCTCTCCCCATACGATTCGCGTGGAAGACGATTCTTATAAATATGAATAGCATGACTCTGGCGCTTTTGTACAACTGCAGCGCTTGGGTCTTGGAACGCAACGTCACGCTGTTACTCAGGCTAAATTACAGCGAATTCTTTAGTGTTCTTGAGGAGGCACTGGACAGCTCGAGCCGACCGGACTTCCTCCGTGACCGGATCACTGACTGCGTGTTCGCGAATCAAGAGCGGCCGTTTGACTTGCCGTGGTGGCAGAAACTCTTCTGGTCGTTGATATACGCGGTGATAGTGCTAGTCGCGATCGGCGGCAACGGCATCGTCATGTGGATCGTACTCGGTAAGAAGAAGACGGATCACGCGAACTTTACACAGCACTTTCGGGAACTTCCCATCTCGTTCCATCTCGTTAATGCGCCGCGCGCGCGCTTTTATAAATATAGATGGATTCGGGAAGCGGAAGATAGGTATTGCGTTTGTTTATTGCCAGCGAGGATCGCACAAACGCGCTCTCGCCCTCGTGACGTCGATGATTCGGATTGCGCGCGAATAGGGATGTTGCGATATTATTGATACAATATTGGAATCGATATGTTTCTTTAAGTACCGTAGATATTTTTGTATCGATATTTCGACATTCGTTTCATATTTTCCTATATCAGTATTATTTTGTTTCGTTATCTTTTCAGTATTCCCTTTTTATTTTTTATTTAGTCGTTTTTCAAAATATCGCTCAAAATATCGTGTATTTTTACTTCATGAAAATTAGTGTAATATAGAACTTACGTTTTAAACCTATCTCTCATGATTTCGGTTACGTTAATTTTACGGTTATTTATTGATTTCCGAAGTACAGGGAAAAGCGTCCGGATATTTTTACAAGTGTGCAGAATTGATCACAAGTGTCATTTGGTGCGTGTATTATTTTATTTCCACGTACAACACAAACTGTAGAAAGTCTAGTGCAAAAGATAGAAGTATCTTTATATCGCAGTAAGATTATTATGCATAGATGTATGAAACACTTAAAAGTAGCTTGCAAGACAAACACTTCCTTGATTTTTATATTTCCTATAATTAAAAATTTTTTTAAATTTCAATACCAGTATTTGCAGCGATATTTTTGTTCTGATATCGCTTTCACTTACGATATCGATACTTTTGATTAAGCACGTTTCAATATTAGTATTTCAGTACTTTTACTACTACTTTTATAGTATTACAATATCTCTAACATTTATTTCCATGCCACGTAAGTTCCTGCTCCGCGGAAGTCCCCACGCAATAATAGAACGTTGCGAATTCATTCCTTTCTGAGGCGACTTTCGTCGAGTGTTGATGTGTACTGCAATATGAGGTCGCGAATTATTTTCTGGACGGTCGTTAGACGCGCTCTGTACACGCGCAAACTGTGTTATCTGTAAAAATTAAAAAAATACTGTGCCAGCAAAATTCGCGACACACTTCACTGACAAAGCAACTCGGGTGAAAATGGCTCTCGTTCTTTCTACGTTCTTTCGATTATGTACCGTCGCTGTGCAGTCCGTAACAACCCGACGTTATCGCAAGCTATAATTGATGAAGATCCATCTTAAAAGATAACTTGATTTCTGTACGGCAATAGTTCAATTTCTCATCAAGGTGGCATCGTACGAGCATATTTTACGCAATTTATAAAATCTAAAATTCCTAAAAAAGTTCTTCTATAACTCAACATGCGTTATAATTTAACATACGATATCACGCGTTTGAGAAAACGTCACGTCGTCTATTTTCATTTGGGAGAGATATTAACATATGTATAGTTAACGTCGTGTGGTCGATAAAGATCGATAAGTCAAATAAAAAGTAAGTCAATTAATATTTGTAGTATAAAAAATTTTGTAATTTATAATATAAATCCTTTTCATTCTTCTCTTATTTAGACAAGCTATCGTATGTGATATAGGAAGATATACATTTTTATGTATAAATCTCAGAACTTCATGTATTCTTATCGTAAATTATGAATTTTAGGAGCTATTCAGTTTATTTTTTACACGTGTTAACCTATAACTTCTTGTTTAGACGTATTTTATTGCTTCCGCCTCGTGCTGATACAACAAGCAACCCTGATCAGAGGTAAACGCAACAACGACAAATCGATAAGCGGATCCAATATCTTTTTACATGAATTATACCGGATTATGTATGTATATGTGTGTGTGTGTGTGTGTGTGTGTGTGTGTGTGTGTGTCATGTGTGTTTTTCATAAGGAACGTACGGGGAAACAATCATGCATTTGAATATTTTAATAAGCACGTGCGATAAATCCATTAAATCATATACGATATGCATGGTCAGCATAAACATTAATTTTGTTATAACGCGTATCAACGCGTATAACGCGTATCAATGACGATAATCGCGAGCGAATGCAACGTTGGATGAATTTTATATGATGTATTACATTTCTCTGCCAGTACTAATTGAAGCAATTTGCAACCTCCACACAATTAAAATTTGCTCCCGTCTCCTCTACCTTCTTTTCTTCCTTCCTCTCCTTCTCTCTGGAATTGAATGACGTTGCATTGCATTATATATATATAGTTTACTATAATGCACTGTATATAGTGTACATACAGTGTACTTCTCCGAAACGTCCTACACGCAGAGGAGGCAAAAGTAATAGCACGATAACAGAATTATCAAACGTAATATTTCGTTATATTTCGATCTTCACACCGATCGATTGTATTCGTCACTTTGTGTCATTTTGAGTGGCACATTTCTTTCACTCGATAGTTGTTCCTTACATTCTTCTTGCTAAAGCAATATGCAGCGCATTGCATTGATTGAAGGTACTTCGCTTTAGAACAGACGTTACTTTATTCCTCGGAAGAACTTCCTTGGAATGCAGACGCTGAAAGTAAAGATGCACAAAGGTTTAAACGCGATATAGATACAGCGGATGGTACATTTTAAGCGGCGATATTATTATTATTACGTTCGTGTTATTATCTATTACGTTCGTTGTTATTTTCATACCATCTATATTTATAACGCTCGCAATTTATAAAATCGTTTGTGTTACACGAGTTCTGAGTTACCTTGTAATTGACGTCGCCTCGGCTAAAAAGGTCCAAGACGCAGGGAAGGGCGCAACGGCGGGAAGTGCGCTGCGTTGTACGAGCGGAATGCTCGCGTAGCTGCTGGTTGTACGTGGGTTTATCGAAGCTGCACTTACACGATATGTAGACAAAAACTACGGGAAAAGAGTACAAGCTCGTTGTGAATGAGATCGTCGTATCAAACGGCGACTCGTAATTTTCTACGTCCTATAGAGCAATTTCCAGCGCAGAAACAGCTCGTTCTGTGCGTGTCCTTTTAATCTATCATTCATGGCGGGGTACTTGGCGCCTACGACAACACGTCGAGTCTCGCCGTTATTTTTTCCCTGACGACTCAGAAATTGATCAATTAAACTTTCCCTACCAACCGGGCGCTAGCCTAATAGAATTGCGAAGTTGATCGATGTTGATTAGCGAAGCGCTGAGACGAATTTGGAGACCGGTTCTTATACGTGCCTTACGGCGCGCGAGAAACATCTGGGCACCAGTGGTTCGCGGAGGACCTTCCACGGCGGACGGCAATTAGAAGGTCTGATAATCGCACGCGAACGCCTCATCGCTCAGGACTTGGCGAGTGCAATATCCAACAGTCACGATGTCTCTTTCTTTCTTTCTCTCTCTCTCTCTCTCTCTCTCTCTCTGTTCCTCCGCTCAAACATTTGCATTAATAGCTAATCCGTAATGTCGTTACCGCTTAATGACACGCAGAGTGATTGTCATACACGTAAATATCGCTGATCCACGATGTAATGGCTGCAATCCGGAAGGACGATGAAATGTAAATAGCAATTTTCAGGAAGATAATAATAATAATAATTTCGGTATACTGACGAAGCGAGACAAGAGACTCATGATTAATTTTTGGCAAATTATTTGTATTACTTCATTTCGCTACTTAATATATTCATTTTGTATATATTCATTATTAAATAATGTAATAATTAAATAATTGTAATATATTTATTATTAAGTTAACATAAAAATTTGAGTTGACCGTTTGGGACGTGTGAAAAGTGATAATTTAACACAAAATTTTTTACTATGCACGAATATATCGATTCATTGCGTATGATCGGAAAATATCATTGTCATCAGGCCTAGTAAGGTTGCCTTCGGAAATATGCAGTGTGCACGCTACTAGACATTATCCATTCGGGAACACTGGGTGTGACTTGGTGTGCATTCGTGTGAGATCGTTTAGAAACGTATAGAGGAGAATCACATCGAATGCCACCAAGCTACTCGACAAAAAAGCAGAGGGAGTCGATGTGAGTCGGTGTGTTACTGTTTAATTACCTATGCCATAACAGCAAAAAACAATATATGACAATATATCGATAAAAATACGTATGTTTAATTCCGACGAAAATTTTCTAGATATTCCCTTGGAATCGTTCGGAAATCACAAAAGCACACCAAAAATGATATTTCCGAATGCAGCTTAAATGTTAAGGCTATTATGGCGCTTAGTATACAACAGACAAAGTCCGCAATTTAATTTTCCTCTCATCCGACAGAGCTGCCTTTTATAGCGAATGTTTTTCCTCGAATTAAATATCTCGCAATTGAAATCGGAATCCGCGATCAAGTCGCGGAATTTAAAATTTGTACGTATCATGATTTGAATTGCAGCCTATCGCAATATTACGCAAAAATATTGAATGCCGTTCCACCTGGAATTCAAGCCCTCTATCTCGAAATCTTGTTATCATCGCATTCCTTTCTTTGCGAATCACGTCGATTCGTCGATAAAAGTCGAGGTATCGGTCGTTTTATGCGTCTTTATGCGCATTTTCCCTCTCTCCAGGATTTTTGTTTCTATTTTTTTTTCGCAAAGCGCGGCGCGAAACGATCTATCGCAAATAGGAAAGTGGAAAAGAAGATTTACGAGCTAAAGGGCTCGTCCATTAAAGGAACCGTGATGTTCCGCACATCGCTTCTGGCATTTCACACGATGGACATTTCCGTGAGAAACTTTAACCATGCAAGGCGTAAGTACGGCCAAAGAAGTCTCGATCGATCGTCGGCGAAGAGAAAACTTCACACGGCGTGGAGGCTTAGAGGATTAAGCGGCTTGAACGGCGACGCAGACGTAAAATTTCGCGGCGGAATCCGGGCTTTATGACGAGTAACTACATTTCTCGTAGCCGACCGTAGATCCCAGGTTTGAGTCGGAAGGAAGAATTCGCAACGGCAAAGTTGTATTTTGTCGAGATAAGTAACGGAAGGG